GTAAGAGAAAAATAAATTTCTACTCATTTCAGCGACTGTGTTGTTGAACCTCTTTGTAACTGTAGCTTAGCTTTCACTCTACCTACAACACATTATATAACATTGAAATGAAGGCCTTCGCATGGAACTAAAGAGCCCTCAAATGATACTAGTTTTCTCTGTTTAATGTCAATCTTCCCTGATTCCTAGAGGTATTCTGTTTTAAAGGCAATAATAAACGACTGTTTCCTGAGACTTTACACAAGAGAGATTCACAAATTAAAAGAAGGAACATTATAACATTTTTTCCAGAAAAGTTTTTCTAAATTTATCAAAAGTGAAATGCCCCTCGAAAAGTCATCAACAGTCAAATTTGCATTAATCACAAACGTGTCCAGCCACCATAACCACAGCTGAAAACATAGCTACAGTTATGGGCTAAATCGTGCCCCACGCCCATCTCATATGTTGAATGAAGTCTGAAGTCTCAGTACCTTAGCATGTGGCTATGTTTGGAGGCATAGGGTCTTTAAGGTGGTAATTAAGGTGGAATGAGGTCATTGGAGTGGGCCCTAATCCAATGACTGGTATCCTCATAAGAAGAGAATAGTAGAGATAGTAGAGCACACACACACACACACACACACACACACACACACACATGGCATACGTACCATGTACGACAGGGAGAAGATAGCTAAGTGCAAGGTAAGAAGAGAGGCTTCAGAAGAAATCAACCTTGCCGACAATATTGATCTTACTTCTTGCCTTCAGAACTGTGAAGCAATACATTTCTGTCGTTTAAGCCACAGAGACCATGCTAATTTGTTGTGGCAGCCCTAGAAGACTGATACAGCTACTAAATATCAAGCATTTTTCTTTTGAGCCAGAACCAAAGAGGAATTCTTTGAGGTGATTCTCTAATAAAAGAAATCAGTTCTATATGATTTCCAGTTATTCAAATCTTTGCTTTTTTCCCAACTAACAGAGAACTTGTTCATGCTTTGATTATGTCTGAACTTTCAAAACAATTCTAAACCTTACCCAAAATAAGTTTGAAGCCATGCCTTACGCTGTATTTAGAAGCGAATTCCCGATAAAGGCCTATCTGTAAAAAGTAAAAAGCTAATAAAATAAAATGTAGAAGCAAGCCATTTTTGCAGCCTATGAGTGGATAAAGACTTTTAAACATGAAGCTAAATCTTTAAATCACAATGCCAAAATAGGATGGGTTCACTGTCATCAAAATGAAGAAGTACGGTTCAATGGTGGTGTCAGCTCAGCTCTTCTTGGCTCTGCTACATCTTTCGTGTTTCAGCTCTAGCCAGGGAAACAGTGCAGTCCTCCATCTTTGGTGAAAGGAAACTGTGCTCTGAGTCAAAGGGGAGCTGGCTTATATAGAGACAAAAGGCCCGTTCCTTGTCCCTGATTGGTTAAATGAGGACAAAATCCTCGAAGTTTTATTGATCCAAAAGGCACTGTCTTGATTGGTCAGAATAGATCCTCTCTGATTGGTCAGAGCTGTGCAGCTCTGATTGGATGGGGAAAGCCTCAGTCCTATTGGTTGAAATAGAATCCGAGGCCCTCCTTTGTAAGGACTGGCTCAGATGGCAGAAACACAGGGCAGGCAGGTAGTTCAGTGCAAAGGCAAGGAGTTCAGGGCAAACTTCCCTGCAGTGTAGTTTGCGTGAGAAACCCTGTGTAGAAATAGCTGCTAGGTTCTGTTTTGCTTTGTTTTTAGTTCGAGCTCAATTAGTAACCAGTAGCCCTTCTTAGCAGGTACTTTATTTCTGAGGGTTCACAACAAATAATCTAGAAAAAGTGAACAGACTAGAGAAGCTATCTGTCACATCTAATGACAAGGGAGATTAATATCTAGACTATCCTCTCCCTCAAAAACAAAACAAAACAAAAAACTTCTGCAAATCAACAAGAAAACAATATAATACCCAATAGAAAAATCGGCAAAGGATATGAAGAGGTAAATCTCAGGAAATGACCATAAGTCTAACAAACATGAAGAAAAGCTCAACACCATTAACAACAAATATACCGAAAGTTTAAACATCAGTAAATTCCACATTGTCTATTAAAACTGCAAAAACCGGAACACTGAATAATATCAAGTGTCGCAGAGAAAGTAGGAATGACAGAAACTATTAGATTCTGTTGCAGGGAATATGCACTAGTCCATTAGTTCTAGAAAACAATCTGACAGCCAGTACTGGGGAAATTAAGTACGAGAATGCCCTATAATCCAGCAATCAACATCCATGTATATATTTCAGAAATGCTCACATCCAGGTCCTTTTGAGAATATGTACCTGGATATTCCTAGCTGCAACATTTGTAATGTGGACCTTAGAAATAGTGCCCACTCCTGGGGGAAAGGATGAGCAAAATGAGATGGAGATATACTGTGAAAATATTACATGATTATCTAAAATAACAAATTGTACACAGAGCAACACAGATCTACACACAGTTGTTGGGTATTAATGGTTAGTCCCTTTATTAAAAATACCTACCTACAGAATCCATGATATCTTTTCCAAAAGATATACAGTAGGCCCTTGAAAAACTCAGGAGTTAGAGGCACCAACCCTACCACCACACCTCACTCAATCCCCCCAACCCACACCCTGCTTCCCACACCCACCACCAATACAGTGGAAAATTCCCTTACAACTTTTGACTCTCTAAAAACTTAACTGTAGAATACCAAGAAAATATTTCTCAGTATTCTCAGGAGGTTGTTTCCAGGAACCCCTACAGATACCAAAATCTGCAGATGCTCAAGGCCTTATATGAAGTGGTGTGGATCAATGCATTTGGTAGACTGTCCACATCTGCAGATTCCCAACTGTGGAGCAAAAATATCATTTTCATTCTGCAGTTGGTTGAATCTGTGGATACTAAATCCAGGGATACTAAGGGCTGATTATGTATGTATTAGAAAAACAAACAAACAAACAAACAAAAAAAACCCACATAGAAGAGGACCCACGCAGTTCAAACCCCTGTTGTTCAAGGATCAACTGTATAAATTTAACATATTGTGGTGATTGCCTTATGGAGGAGAGAAATGGCAGGGAAATAGGGATTAAGGGGGGGGGGGGGGGTAGAATAGGGTCTTGCATGAACTGATGATGCTGTACTAAAAACCAAGGAGTATAATTAACCGAATTCTGCACCTGAGATTTACACACACATACACACACACCCTCCCACCCCAGGTCCCTCCAGAATTTCTTTCAGCACATTATTCTACAAGTCACATTTGCAGTGGGAGCACTGGAGTAAAACTGTCGAATCTTATTCAACTCTATTGGTCACACTGTCCCAGTGGTTCACAACCAGGGGCATTTTTGTTTCTCCTCTGCCCCCAGGGACATTTGGTGCTGGCAGTTTGTTACCATTTGGGAGAGGGTTGCTACTGGCATCTATTCAACAGGAGCCAGGGACACTGCTGAACATACTACAATGAACAGGACAGTCTGCTCCAACAAAGCAACATCCCTTCCGAATGTCAGTAGTGCTGAGGTTGAGAACCCCCTACTGTCTCACTAGGTTATCCATTCTTAGGTGTTTGGGAGGCTGCCCTGCAAGCTGACCAAATGCTCATTTCTTCTTTCCCTTCTCACTCTTCCATTTACTCTCCGTCTATCTTCCCTTTCCACTCTTTCATTTCTGCTCAAGCACAATATACTGTCTCTAATGCCTCACTCCCTCTAGAAGTCATTAATTTACTTAAATATCACACTGATTCTAATGGTTCATATAAAGACTGAATGGCATAAACCGATAGAAGGCCTTTAATGAAACAAATAATTGCTAATATGCCTCTCACTCCTTTTCCTTTTCTCATATCAGTGGCTCCTCTACACACCCATCTATTAAAATAGGAAGAGGATCCAATTTAAGATTCACTGAGAGTCTGCACTATATCTTCATGAATTTGGTGAAGGAGATAATTGTCCTAGAAGGGCAACAGTCAAAAAGAACAAACTGAACCAAACTAGGGGTCAGAAGTCAAGTGTAAGGATGGCAGCCACAGTGGGACAAGCTTGTGCCAAGGTGGGGGGTTGGAAAGGATTGAGCTAGCTACCGAAGTTGAAAGTTTGGGGCTAGGACCTTCACTAAACTAGAGAGAAGAGAAAGAGAAGTGTCTTTCTGCCTTTTAAACTGAACTCCAACATTCTCTGAGCAACAGAATGGGCCTCATGCATACCAGGTGAGATTGTAAGTTTAAATGAAAGGAAAATTTTCAGATAACGGAGACTATTAAACATTGAAGTGAATGTTGTGGATGTTCTGCTATGTTGAACTTAATTTTTGAAGGGGCTTTAATATACAGTATTATAGCCCAGTTCAGGCAAAGGATCAGATTAAAGGTTTTAAAAACTGTGATCTGTGTTTTCATGCAGTTCCCCTGACTTTTGTTAATTACCTTGTCCCTAGGGCACTCACGTCGCCTCTAGAGTACCTTTGAGGTATTGGCCCTGCATATACCTTGGTTTTTGTCCTTTGTGTTGATAATTGTGGTGGTGGTTTTTTGTTTGTTCTGTTTTCTTTTTGTTTTGTTTTTTAAAGTTAAGCAAAGTTTGGAAAATCTCTGAAGAGGCATTATTTTCTCCAATTTTATTCAGTTCTCGCAGTAGAAATATGAATATGTTTATTTCTCAATGCGGTCTTTTTTCTTCTCCAGATTAAAAAAAAAATTTAATTCTCATGAATTATCTGGACTTGAATTTGTTTTCGTAAAAGTAAAAAAAATAAATAAAAGAGAACAAAGGTAGAAAATATTGGGCACATTTGCACGTTACATTAAGACATGTTCCCACTCCAGCTACCCAGAAATTAAACCATCCGTCTGGTCCTTTAGAAACCACCCTCCTGTCTCTTTAAACAACTGACAGCGAGAGGGGGGCGGGCCTCCAGAGTGAGGCCGGCTCTGATTGGTCCGACTGGGAGGAAGTGAGCGGTGGCGGCGTCGTTTCTGTTATCGTCTGGAGGCTGAGGGGTGAGAGGCCGAGGCGGGGCTGGGCTTCTGGACACTGCTCGGCGCTTCTAGTCGCGGGAGTGGGAAAGTGGGGTGCAAAACGGGTCCCCTTCATCACGGTGGGTTCGGGGCTCTGGCAGCCTCCTTGCGGAGGTGCCACGCCCTGGCGGCGGGGCCCAGGTGGGGTCGGCGTCCACTGGCACCGCCGAGACCGTGCGGCGGCCTGGGGGCCCGCGGGAAAGTGTTGCCCGGGCTCCGGCCGCCGCCCGCGCAGCGGGGCCCAGGACCCTCTCTCAACCTGGGTTCTCTTTTTCCCCTGTTCTGCAGGCTCGCTTCCGGCGTCATGGCTCAAAGGGCCTTCCCGAATCCTTATGCCGATTATAACAAATCTCTGGCCGAAGGCTACTTTGATCCTGCCGGGAGGGTGAGTTTGGGGTGCATCTGCCTGAATCCCTTCCTCCGACGCCCAGTGTTTGGAAAGGCGCTCAGTTTTGCCTGAAAGGGATGAATATCCCTTAAAAAAAAACAAAAAACATGTAATTCGATAACCATATAAAATATATATTTTTAACTTATTTTTATTTTTTCCATCACCATTTATTTTAAATATATAAAATGCATATTAAAATACATAATTTGAGCCCTAACATGTGGAATATCAATAAGGAATCATTGTTAATATCATTGAAATAACCTCATTGATATTTTAAGTTATATTCAAAATAATTTGTATATTCAAAGGCGGATAGGCAGTTTATATACCATGTTATTTAAAATTTTTTACCTTTCTGATTTGCTTTTTTAAGGAGAGGTGAATATCCTGATGATATTTCACATGCACCCGTTTAATTGCTTTATGATTTTACACAAGTATAGACAGAGTGATGATGGAACTAGAGTATGTAGTCAAGACATCTTTAGACTGAAAGTGCTGAGAGAAATTTGGGACATAGGCCTGAAATTCTTTGTACCATTCCTACTTTTTGCGGGACATCCCCACAGCTGAAAAATACTAGTAAATTAAATTGGCCTGCAGCTCACAAACTACTGTATAAAAGAGAAACTGGATGTGAGTTACCAGAGACCAAGGATGATTTCTCATGTCTCTTTGGGGGAATGTAATTAAGAGAGAATACAGTTATTCTTAAGAATACCTAGTTGAGAAATCCTAAGAGGGAATTAGATTGGGTAAGTGACCCCTTTAAATGCACACACATTTTTTTTTTTTTCAATTTTACCAGTTTATTTCTTCCAAACTCAGTTATGTGAAAGCATTTCACATATGATACAGTGCGCTTTGGTTTTTCATGTCTATCAAGTTTATGTGACTCTGTTGATTTTCTTTAAACACTCATCATTATAGATTAATTTGGGTCAGTAGAGCTGGTAGGAAGGATGTCAGAGATGAAGAGGAGTTGTAGGATAGAAGGTACTAAAATGTATATGGAGCTAGAGTCAGTCTGATTCTTTTAAGACCAAAACAGCTGCCCAAACAAAGCTTATAATTATCTTGAGGTATATGGCTTCCTTTTGGCCATTTGGACCTGTGTTCTGCCTAGCTCTGCAGATCCTGAAGCTCAAGTATTTGTCTTGTCTTGTTGGAGGAAGACATGCTGTTTCATGTTAACTTGGCAAAGAGAACACTTGAGGAAGTATCCTAATGACAAGACCCATCAGGAAAATGTAGCTCACTATTTGGGCTATTTATAAATTAAATGCTTTTCCAAAAAGTTAACTCTGTTTCTAAGGAGGAAAAAAGATATTCATAAACTTAAACTCTAGCCCCAAAATAACAGTGTAATTTATTGCTTAACACATGGTTTTTGGACAGATCCCTGAAAGAAACTAGCATAAGCTATAAAATTGTTTAACATTGAACACCAAGGATGAGATCTTGGAGATCTGTCTTTCTTAATTTGTTAACACATACATTTTAATAAGGATCTGGTCTGTTTTCAAGTATCTATCAGACAAAAAAAAAAGGGGGAGGGTGCTTTTAGAGACTCTTTACTATTGCTAGAGTTTGAATAATTTTGTGGTCTGCCACAAGCAATCAATATTCTCAGGCAGGTCACCTTTATTAAGTGCAGTTAATAAAGGTGCCAAATAGAAAGTAACTTCCCTTCCTGAGGCTGAAGCATTCTGAGTAAAGCCAAGCAAGATGATAAATTATCCATGATCTGTGAACAGAAGATGACATGTTCTCATGTAGATGCACTCTTCTATCTAGTTGAGATTTATAGATCTTTTGTATTAATATTGAAGTATATTTTATCTTACTAAATATATTTTTAAAACTTTTGGAAATCTTAACCTCTTAGCAGAAATTGTTAAATAATGGGAGGATGGCGTTCAAGCAGTGTGGTTCTTCTGAGTGTGCAATAAGGGATCATAGAGAAGCTTCAGAATAAATAATCCAGATGTGGTTGATAGTCCTATTTGCCTTATCAGAGATGCTCTTCAGAATAAAATTTAATATCTTATTATTAATAATAATTCTATGCTGTCTTATTTTTTCAGTGCTAAGATGCCCTTTTTAGAAGACTAGATTGTGATACTAACAGATAATAGTTAGGTTTGTTTTTACAACACTTACATAAGTAAATAAAACATTTCCTTGTAATGTTCCCTGGCATTGTTTTGAAATTGTACTGCTTTGTAAAATCCAAGTCCGAGAATCACAGCAATGCCTAAAATTATTGAGGGATACATTAGAGTGACCTTTTAAGATAATTGATTCAGTGTATACAGAATCAAAATGCTTTTCATTTGCCTTTAGAACGAATAACATACTGATTGTGTGGGCCTCACAGTTTGCCTAGCATCTGTGGGCCTTCATATGGTTGTCTCTAACCCCCTTGCACCAGCCTTAGTGTGCTTCAGCCCACATCTAAATTATTACTTATTATAAATCCTGGACTGCTTATGATAGTAACAATGTCAACAATTGCATCCCTGAATGCAAAAGACCTGAGACATAAGATATCATTTTATCTGCAAAGAACCTGTTCAGATTGGTGGGACAGGTATTTTCCTGACTTTGCAGAGGTAACTGAAGCGTAAAGACCTTATGAGTTGAGCAGGATCACCCATCTAATAGCCATAAGGACAAAGCCAGGTTTGTTCAGTGAGCAATATTTATGCTCCTACTCTGCCTGGTGCCGTGCTGGGAATGGGTTTTTTAATGCTTGATTTGATGTTCTTATAAATGAATTTTTTTTTAACCTCACCCTAGGACATTTTTCCATTTTTTGTTCAGATAGAGCGGGAGGGAGAGAGAGGAAGAGAGAGAGAGAGAAACATCGATGTGAAGGGACACATCGAGTGGCTGCCACCCGCACGACCAACCAGGGCTGGGGACAAACTGCAACCGAGGTACATGCCCTTAGCGGGAACCGAACCTGGGTCTCTCTGTACCGCAGGCCGACGCTCTAACCGCTGAGCCAAACTGGCCAGGGCTTATAAATGAATTTTTATAAATGTTTATCCTCATTTGTAAAAAAACAAACCCAATTAGCATATTTCTTTAGGAAATTAACATTGGTACAGTTTAAATACTAAAAATCCAGTGGCTTGTAGACAGCAAACATCTTCTGACTTGTAGTTAATTTGATAAAATAACTTTTATTGTAATAAAAAAATAGTGGTTTAAATAATAGACGATCTCTACTAGGTGGAAATTTCTGTGAGCCAGTATATCATTGTTGGTCTGTTTTAGTAGTTAATTAAAATTTTTATGTAAAACACTGAAGTGACAACAAAAATACAGTTGACCCTTGAACAGTGTAGGGAATTAGGGACGCTGACCTACCGAACAGTCAGAAATCTGAGTGTAACTACAGCCAGCCTTCCACATACTGGATTCCCAACCAAGGAGTTGACTCTTGAGCAACACAGGTTTGAGCTGCACAGTCAAGTGAGAAAACCCACATAAAGGTGGACCTGCACAGTTCAGACCTGTGTTATTCAAGGGTCAGCTATATTTCCTGCCTGAGGAGTAGTTACTTTTAAGTTTTGTTACTTTGTTGTGCTGTTTAAGAATAAAATACAGTAAGTCCTAACTGTGACTTTAAGCAAAACAACATATAACAAAACCAATTTTACCATAGGCTAATTGATATAAACAAGGGTTCATTCAATACAATATATTTCTGGCCACAAAAACATCATCAAACTTCTATATAAAGACCCCAAACACTTCTAATATTAAAAATTGAAACAAAAGTGATCTATACATACATTTGAGAAGGATTAATAGAAACAAGTCTGATAATTCTCTAACCCGCTTAATCAGGTTCAAGGTTGGGGGTGGTGGGAGCCTATCCTGGCAGCTCCGGGCACAGAGCAGGAGTCCACCCTGGACAGGACACCCTTCCATCCCAGGCCTCACTCACACACTCACGCCCACACTCAGATGGGGACAATTTAGATGCCACTTCCTCATGTACATCTATGCCATGAGGGAGGAAATGAGTGTTTCCAGAGAAAACACACAGACATGGGGAGAACAGGCAAACTCAACACAGACTGCGGACTCAGCAGGAATTGATTTTTTTTTCCTCATCAATGTTCTAATGAAGCAACGTTGAATGATGACATTATTTGAGGACCTGCTGTAATTGTCCAGTTCTCCCAAGCAGAAAAATGTGGCCTAAGTGGAAATAAAGTACCCCCCTATTTTTGAGAGCCCATAGTTCAAGAAGTCAAGTGGCCCATCTATTTGATGTTTGTTTTCCTCTTAATATTTACAGCTGACTCCTGAGTTCTCACAACGCTTGAACAATAAGATTCGAGAGCTTCTGCAGCAAATGGAGAGAGGCCTGAAGTCAGCAGACTCTCGGGATGGCACCGCTTACACTGGCTGGACAGGTACGAAGTGCTGGCCGTGAGCTGGCATACGCATGGCAGAAGGGAGCGAAGGCATTCCCTTTCTAGAGCATTCTGGCCAGGACCCTTACATGCTTCCTGCATCTGCATCTGAGTGATAGCTGTGCTCTCAGCCTGACCGTGGGATGTTCTAGATTTTTCTCAGTGCTCTGAACTTAGGGTAGGGGAAGTATATTCATGGAATTCATGCCTGCCACCAATTTAGATGGCTGCTATTCCTGTGAGGAGCAAAATTGATGTTAAGCATTACATAGTTAATTTGGAGATGAAATTTCAATGCAAAAAGTCCCACAGTACAATGTATGAAATACACATAAGGAGAATGTATCCACCGGAAACAAAACATGTCCAAAAGTGTTATTATTAATAAAAAATGCTACATAACGGAACTACACAGAACAAAGGGTATAAAGTATAGATTCCATGGAGTAATCCTTCCATGCAGTCATTGCTAGTTGGTTTGCATTCACTGTTTTGCCCGTCATTGAGAGGTTGGAGAAAATGTAGGAAGGAGTGGTACATAGATATCAAAAAGGTAAGAGAGAAACTGAAGCAGGAAAGTTGAAGAACTGCAGTTAGGTTGGTAATGTGAAGAAACAGAAAGACCGTTTTATAATCTTGAAGAAAGCACAGTGTAGAGACTCAGCATTTCCCAGTTACTCATATATCATTATATAAATGTATAATCTTTCAGGGACATTTAAGGTCAGTATTTTATAAAATAAGAGGAATGGATGGGCCCTTCCTCTTATAGTTTAGGTTTCTTTTTCCCTTTTTACTTCGTTTTTGTTGATCTTCACCCAAGGATATTTTTTTCATTGATATTTAAAGAGAGTGTAAGGGAGTGAGGGAGAGAGAGAAAGAGAAACATTGATGTGAGAGAGACACATTGATTGGTTGCCTCCTGCACGACCCCTACCAGAGCCAGGGATCAAACCTACAACCCAGGTACATGCCCTTGATCAGGAATTGAATCCGAGACCCTTCTATCCATGGGCCAACGCTCTAACTGCTGAGCCAAACTGGCCTGGGCTAATTTTATGATTTTTATGATTTTTGTGGATTTTAGAAGTTTAACACAAGAAATATTAACATGAGAATAAAATGAAAGTATTTGCTTCAAAATGGAAATGATAACAGTTGTCATTTATTATCTATATACATGTCCCAGGTATGCTGTAATTGGTAGATTAATTTTGTTAATAAACACTACTATTCTTTATTTAAAGTTATGAGGATTTGAACAAAACAGGACAAGTATAATGTAGTAGTTGAGCATTAACAAGTGATTACTATATATTAATACTCAAAAACAAGAATTCAGTACTTTAATAATAAAATATAATGAATAAATTTTGGTTCCCAAGGGATTGACGATCATCATTATGCAGTTTTGTGATCATTTGACTGTTGACGGGCAAGAGTAAAGATTAAACCACTATTCTTACTAATAAAATGTTACTAGGATTGTCATTTGAATGACAGGAGCCACAGGGCGTGTGCATATATGTCAGTAACTAACGTTACATGCCAGGCACCGCTCTAAGTGCCTTGCGTTAATTAATTAAGTCTCAGAAGAACTGTATGGCATGCATACTATTCATAGCCCCACTTCACAGATGAGAAAAGTGAAGCAAAACAAAGCAAGGCTGAGTGTCTGTTCATGGTTACAAAGCTAGAAGGTGACAAAGTTAGGATTCAACCCAGCAAGCCTGGCTTTAGAGCACCTGCTCTTTGCAAAGAATTATAAATAGAGAGAATAAGAATGAGTGTGTGTGTGTGTGTGTGTGTGTGTGTGTATGTGTGTGTTTGTGTTTAGATTCCACTTGTACATTTGGGTTTACAGCATACATTTTATAAGTGAGCATCTACACATAAGTTCTCAGATGGAGTTTTTTAAGCAGTCACAACGTGATGATACTCATCTGTACAAACTTTTAGAAATGGCTAACAGCTAGTCAGTTTTAAGTGTTTTAGAAACATATAATCTGTGATAAAAACATGAAAGGAATTTGGAAAGAAAGAGGGAAACAGCTTATTGGACAGGCAAGAGTATTTACTATTTAAAAGTCTATAGGAGAGTGTTATTTGGTATTGGACATAAAGTAAACCCTGGAGAGATGTATGGGCATTTGCATATAGAAAAGTGAAATCTCCAGTGTTGTTCTATAGAAGGTGTTTCCCCCCCAATCCTGAATTACCATATTAAGTTGGTTTCAGGATAGAAAATTAACTGGGCCAAAACAGAAGCTTTTCCTCATAATTGTTGTATTTGAAAAAGCTTATTGAGGATTTTCTTTTGTGAAATAGTACCCAAGTCTGAAATCAATCGGTAGCTCCTGCAGCTGTTAATAAGCCATATTTGAAATAAACAGCTTCAGTGCTTTTCACTGAAAGCCTCCTTTATAAAATGAGTACATTGAAGTGTAATGCATCATGATATTGATACGTGCCATGTGCCAGCAATAACATTGAGTTGTTCATTTCTAGCCTTAATCCTTCTCTGGTAGATTTGCTTATAGTATATACTCCTATTTTGGGAAGCATTGAAGAACTGTTCTGTATATCTGTACACATAGCAGCAGACAGCATAGAAAAATAGCACACAAGGAGGCCCCTGAAGGTCAAACCTGATAACCAGCTACTGAGTGGTCCTAGGTGATGTCCAGGGATCTGTGGGGAATCATCACAGAGCATGATGCCACCTGCATTAGGCTACTCTGGGCTTTATTCCAGGGAGATTGTAGGTTCTAGCGGGGAGAAGACTTTTAAAGGTCCTTATAAAATGGAAAGCATAAAACACTGGTGAGGAATTGTTATTATAAAGGATTAAATGAGCAGATGGAATATTCTTGTTAGAAATGCATTTAATAGAAAAGATTGCTTCCCTTTCAGGTAACATGGTAAAAGATTAAGTAAACTAAAGGGGTGGCTGATCTCACTAGTATCTTTAAGAGAGAATGAGGGAAAGTGCTAACCCTCATTTAATTTCATTTTTCCCACTTTTAACTGTGATGATTCCTAAGGGAAATGATAATCAACTTACACTTTGAGGGGAAAAAATACACACAGGACTCTAGAGGCTTTAGTTCTGAAAGACATGACCCAAGCTTCTATAACCAACTCACATTGCTAATGAGGCTAAGATTGGCATGTAGTTTCTCTTTTCAAGTATTAGATAACATTTTAAATAAGAGGATATGCAGCATAATCCCTAGAGTAATATTAACTTGCGCTGTAAATGTAAGTCATTAAAGTGTTTCAGGATGCTGTTCTCTGATCTGCCTTTGAGCTACAGCTTTAGCATGTGGGTCTTAGTTTCTGCTGATACCAGGCGTATTTGAAAGAAATCACTCTGGCCAGGTGTCTTTTCTTTGCAATTTGACCTCCTTATTAAGTAGCTCTTCATCAGAGCCAGCATTTCAGTGTTTAATTTGAGCCCTGAACAAAAGTCCTTCCCCTTCATGAGAAGCACCTATGCCTCCCAGCAAGCTCTGGTAGGACAAGCAGAAGGAATCCAAGGCGTGGATCTGCACTGGGTTTATTAGAGCCCTTCACAGTGACCACTGGATAAATAAGTGTAGCAAGAGTGTCACCTGCTTTTTTTCTGCCTGCACTTTATATGGTGTTGATGTCATTGTGTTACACTCTCTTTAAATTGCTAAGACACAGTGCTGAAACCACTGTAAGGGTTAGATGCCTCCAGTGTGCTTGGGTGAGGCACAGAGAGCAGGGTGAGTGTTTGTGGATTGACTAGAAGGAATGGCAGGAAGGAAAGAAGGAATACATATCTAAGCAATTTGATTTTTACAAACCAAAGAGACTGAGGCTGTGTCTTGTCATTTCATTCCAGTAACTTCACTTAACACAATGCTAGGTCTATAGTTGGTGCTTAATAAATATATGCAGATGGATGGATGGATGGAGAGTGTGCTGCTATTGCTATTCTAGCTACCACCTTTGAGAACTAAAAACAGTACCTTACAACTGGGTAGAATGGGGACGGGTAGGAATTCAGTGTTAGTTAATCACATCTCTTTCCCTTCAACCTCTGATCTAATTGAGAAATGAACTCAGAAATTAGATAGGGCTTTGTAATTGGTAAAGCTGGGTAAAGAGCTTATTGTTTAGATCTGGATGTTAAGTGGGTTTCTTCCTTGCTCCTTGATTTGAACTTACCTCCCCAGACTCAAACAGAGCATCTGGACAGCCCAAGGTACGGATTACCACATAAGGAACAGGAGAGAGGAGATGGCAGAGAGCCCCAGGACAGAGAAGACTTCCAGCAAGTTCAAGAGTGAGGCCACATAGCACACTTTCCCAGCCTCCCCAGTCAGAGGAGCCTGTGAGGGAGGAGAAAGGCAGAAAGTAGGAACAGGGAGAGTATGGTTCTCTCTGTACTTTCTGTCCCTTTAGATCTGGTATCAGAGATCAGGTATCAAAGTGACTCGTTCGACACATTGCGGTTCACATTGGGCATTTGGGATTGGGAGGCTTGGACGTTTATTAAGTAGTTAGTATGCACTAAGGACTGTTGTAGTGATTAGCATGATTCATAGTAACTATGGAGTAGCTACTGTTTCCGTTTTGCAGATGAAGATACTTGGGCACAGAAAGGTTTAGTAAATGGGTCAAGGTCACACATCTGGTAAGTGGCAGAGCCAGACAGTGAGTCCTTAGCTCATTCTCTTTTTTTAATATTTATTTGAGAGAGAGCAAGAGAGAAACATTGATTTATTGTTCCACTTATTTATGCATTCATTGGTTGCTTCTTGTATGTGCCCTGACCAGGGATGGAACGTACAACCTTTGCATATTGGGACAATGCTCTAGCCAAATGGGCTACCCAGCCAGGGCCCCTGGGCTTGTGCTCTTAATGACTACTGTGCTGAGGGATTTATCACTCACATAGCAATGTGAGTAAAAGACTAGGAGCACTTCCTAATCTGACAGTTACAAAGCAGTACAGTGCAGGGCTCTGT